GTAGGTGACTCTCTTCTCTCTCTCTCTCTCTCTCTCTCTCTCTCTCTCTCTCTCTCTCTCTCTCTCTCTCTCTCTCTCTCTCTCTCTCTCTCTCTAATTGAGAATCTTGACTCTGAATACGTCCGCTACTAATCAGCTTTATCTTCTACTACTAGCTATGCGGCTATGGCTGCCTTCCCTCTCAGCACAGCGCTGCCCAGCAGGGCTCTCGCGCATGCCACTCGCAGATAGCGCAGAAGCGCTTCAGCAGCACTTCCACACTTCTCACGAATGAGCATTCCCCTTTGAAATCTGGCTGGCCAGTCCTTATATTGACTTGGACTGAGCCTCACCTCCTCCCAGCCTCTGCTTCCTTTGGCTTGACTTGGACCCAGTACCACATGCCCACGGCCTGCTTGCTCCAGAATGTCAAGGCCTGGTACTTTCCCGAATTTTCATTGGTGTGCTGCTGCTTGGGTCTGTGAGTCACAACTTTTCACCTGTGGAACATGACTTTTGACTGTGGGATGTGACTCTTTCCTCTCGGACACGACTTTTCCCTGGGGAAGTATCCTTTGCCTGTCGGATATGTCTTTTCAATATGGGACGTGACTTTTGCTTATAGAAAGCAACGTTTGCCTTTGGGATGTGACTGTTCACCGAGTGCCTGTTGGACTTGACTCCTAAGGTACCCGACTGTGACCTTTCTGATCTGGCCGACCTGGCTTCGCTTGGCCTGAGACCTTGACCCTGGAATCAAATTTGGGGTCCGCATCGTGGAATGCCTTTCACCACTGTGAAGTAATGGAATTAAGCCCTGGCCAGGTCCATGACAATTACAGGATTTGAAGTTTGAACTTGTCAACCGGTAATTATCTTGATAAATCATTCAGCTAACAAGATGGTACAACAGGGCCAGGTTCAATGACTTACTAGCGGTGAGCAAGGTTATTAACCCCCCAAATGGTGGACCCCAGGCCGGAGATGTGGGACCCCCAGGCCAAGAATGGGCAAACCCAGACCGGGGATAAGGGGGTCTGGGGGTCAGCTTTTTCTCCCTCAAATCCAGTCCCTCCTTTCCAGAAAGTTCTGTGATTATGCACATATCCCACCATGAGGAGCCAGGGAAAGCCGTCTACTCTCCCCCACCACCCCCACTCCCACCCCCACCCCCACCCTAACCCTCTCCCAGGAGCGACTACGGCTGCAAATTCTCCATCCCCAGACCCTGGAGGCCTGGCAATCTCCAGGTCATCAGTCTACCGCCAGGATTTCCCTGAGGGCAGCGAAGTGACTACCCTGACTTCCTCATCGCCATGATCTCCGGAATCACAATAACAGCAAAAACTGGAAGAGAGGATTCAACAAGGACACACGCCACAAGAGAAGGAACGATCAAAAGTAGCAAAATGTGGGTTACAAAACTCACCTTCCGTCAGCCAAAGGGCTGCGAGGAACAGGCCCGGTTGGAGCCCAAGAAGGCTAGTCACAAGTACCAAAGCGAATGGACAATCAGGCTATTACCCAAGGATAGTACAAGCTAACTTAGGCAGGGGTGAAGGGGGGTACATCTTTCCATCAGGAAGTAATCAATGCCTTCCTTCGGGCCTTCATACCATACGGTGGAGGAGAGTCAACTAGTTTTTTTATTGTATTCCCTTCTGACTTGCTGGTGGAATAGGCACCGGACTGACGGTCCCCAGAATGGATAAGGAGCCAGAACCATCAGGTTCTGTTTTTATTAATTAAAAAAAAAAAAAAAAAACTCACCTTCCGAAGAGAGCCAGCCGTAAACGATGCCAAAATTGAAATGTGGTACTTGCAATATCACTGTCAGGATGTGCGGTCACCTCAGTCAGTGCCTCTGCAACAAGCATTGCTTCTCTTGACCCTGCCCACGTACGACAATGTCAGCCACGCAACAAGTCAAAACAACAGTTCACTATGCAACGCAATGCTATCAGAATGCGACGGTCACATGGCCACCATCTCCAGCCCACCATATTATCACGTCAACGTAAAATAGTAAAATACGCAATATCAATGGAAATCCTGTCAGCCTCATTTTGCTTCAATGGAGCCTTGGAGGTTGACATCATCCACCGGGGAAATGCGGTCGCAAGGCCGAAAGTCTAAGGAATTGATTGACGAGGGCCTGCACGATGGCTTCAGTGACTACCGTCTTCAGCCGAATAGAACGCCGCCCAGTCATCACAGCTGTATTTGGGGCAACTTTCGGTCCAGGTGCAGCGATAATGACCAGGCTATTTTGTTCGGGTGACAACAGTAGCAGTCAATCACCTATCTGGAAAGAGAGACCGAACCCTCTGCAGAAGCAACCAGGAAATCAAGCCCAAGATTGAAACAAGTGTGGCCCTGCAAAAAAACAAACAAACAAAAAAAAAAGTGTGGCCTGGCAAAGCAATTAGCCTCGTAGTAGGCATACAACACACGGAAAAGTGAAAAAGGGCAGTTTTACGAAACACAAACACATGACACAGAATTTGTAATCGCATGATCCCACTAAGAAACAAATATTCAAAAAAAAAAAAAAAAAAAAAAAAAAAAAAAAAAAAAAACGCGCAAGTGTGTGTGTGATCAGGTGAGGGTGGGGGGGGCGACCCCTCCCCACCAATCAATCAAACAATCATTAAAAAAAAAAAAAAAAAAAAAAAAAAAAAAAAACAGAACAAAAAATCAAGGTAGGGCAACGAAGGCACGTACCACTAGCAATCAAATCAACATATGCCTCACCCATCTCCGCAAACAGCCGCGCAATGCCTTTTGTTGTTTCCTCGTCCTGGAGACAGTAAAGACGACGCAAGCCATACACAAATGAGGCATGCAAGCCTGACAAGGGCAAACCGATAACAACCACCACAGTGAAATATCGAACGCACACCAAATCCACGATAGTTGGTGTCGTAAAACTAGTTGGTGTCGTAAAACCAAGAACATAGGGTGCGCCAGGCAAGATCAAATGTAACTACACTATCAGGTTTTCATGGAGCAAGAAAACAATGCTCGAGTGCAAAATGATTCAAACAGAAACTTTGCGGAGCTTAAAAACCAGAGTCAAACATCCATTCAAAAGAGGAATGGAGAGAGAGAGCAGAAAACATGAACCCAAAGTCCTCACAACAATCAACACCATCAATTGCAATGAGCTTAAAGTCTGAGCCCCATCCACCACCCTCTTCCCCCAAACACAATGCCCAGTCACTATAGCTGTATTTCAACACCGCCCCGTTCACGACCAAAACCCTCCCCCAACGGCCCTCCACCCCGAGATTCAGACCACCTCGACTGTGTCGAGGACGCCGATCTGTCCGGAAAGGAGAACCCCATTGGGAAGGAAGGCAGGACGAAACGGGGAGTTCAACTTTCCAGCGCAAATACACATGTAATGATCGGGCGTTGTGTTCAGGGAAGAAGGTAGCCCTTTCTTACTCCACTCAACCATAGTTTACTCTGAGAGTCTGAACATCATCTACCACTCTACTTGAGTGGCAGTCCAACCAAGTCCACAGTGACTTTATGCTATCCGATGACAACCAAGAGTGGCCCCACTGCCGGGCGCTTGTCTTCAAGGGAGGTTGGCATTCTGGGCCAAGATGTGGGCCCACATATGGGCCAAGATGTGGGCTGAGATTGGGCCCAGATTTGGACCTTCTGAGCCCAGATGTGGGTCGAGATATCGGCCCATACATGGGACCAGATGTGGGCCACATCTGGGCCCAGATCCAGGCCCAGATGTTAGGCGGTCATGGTGAGCCCAGACGAAGCGCAGCCAATAGGTACCACCGCTTAGGGAAGTTGGCACAGCGGACCCAGGCGAAGGATAAGACATCCAGAAGACAGGGTGAGAGGTTGGCAGTGTAGACACACAATACCAGCCTCCCAAAGTGCTGAGCAACTCTCATCCACGTCCAAATCAGCAGCACTCTTTTGGCATCCTCCTCCTAGTCTTCACTAAGTCCCTCCACAGTGCGCTCTCCCCTCATCCAAACTGGGCCTGCATCCCCCTTCACTTATGGTGATCTCCTCCTCCCTCTGGGCTGCGGGGTAGCTTGGCCGCTAAGCCACTAGCAAACATGCCAAGTGAAATGGCAAGCATAACCACTGGGCGACAACCCTCATCTACATGAACCGCAACTGAACCGGCCGGCGTCCAGCCTTACCAGCCTCAGAGTGGCATCAAGGTCCGGTTGCGATGTGGGCCCAGATCTTCTGACCTCTTAAATAAGGCCAGTTACCCTAGACACCTACCCATAGAATTGCAGGTAAACTCGAGGCCTACAGGTCGGTGTCTCATGCGGAACCCGACCTAGGAGGTAGTACGAAACCTGCCCAAATCGTAACTGGACTTGACTAAGAGTAGCAGTTGAAAATGCCACGGGTTTTTGCATCGTAAAATGCAAGTATACCTGCATGGTCCATCAGCTGGTCGGGGATAATAATTCTTATTGGCATAGGAAGGATAGGTGCTTAAACTTCTAAATTCTTATTGGCATAGGAAGAATAGGTGCTCAGGCGTCTTTGGGCCTAAAAACTCGCAAGAGTCTAGAGTCCAAAAATTTATAGGCTCAGAGAAATCTCACTTTGCCCTGCAAAATTTGCTTTCTTATCTCACTTAAAAAGTAGCTCCTTTCAGGCGTAGGCTACTCGGAAAAGCTGTGAGATGATTAAGGGAGAGAAAGTGTAGAGACTATTAGAGAGCTTTAACAGCCGCAGTAGGCTGCCAGAATCAGAAAATTTCTAAAGAACTTTAATAGAAGAGTATTAGCTGTAATGAAGTAGTGAAGTATTGAAAACCCCAGAGATAGACTGACTGACCTCTTGAGAAAGATCTAGCTGCCCCTTCGCAGAATCCTGCTGTTCATCCGCATTCCTCTCTGCAATTGCAGCCTTTGCAAGCAAGCATTGTTTAGAGTCCTTGCACCCATAACATTCCATCCATTCTGCACAAGCAAACCGCTTAAGCTACGGAGGCTATGATCCGTCGCACAAACAACTCACAGGAAGATTCAATTAACAAAAGTGGTGAGGCAACACACTGCCATCTTCGCACGAACATGTTGTGCAAAGGCGGCAGGAGCAGCAGTCGAAGCCGACACATAACCCAAGCACCGTTTCTTTTTTCACTTTTTTATCTTTTTTTGATTCACATATTAAACTGATCAGAACAGATACCGCACTTGATCTTAGCCAAAAGGCCGAGAAAGGTATAACTATTAATTATGTTTTTCTGGTGAATCTGGTCATGGGACTGTACCTGGATTTGAACATGGGAAATCACCGTTTCACTTCTTTGAAGGCACGGAAAAACACACAGCGCTTCAAAATTTTCAAAAACTGGAACCCAACTGGTTGGCACTTTGAATGTATCCCTTCAGTGAAAGGAAATGTCAAACAACAACATCCAAGAACGAACCATCGCCTTTTTTTTTGGGCCATTTCTCGATTTATGTGTGTCATCCTTGTCCAGGGGCCATGCTAATCTTATTTCTCTGTATGGTTCCAATATTAAGGATGTCCCGAAGGACGAACTATCACTTTTTGATGTTGTGTGATACAAGTCATGCAACCAGTGATCGTTCTATTTCCGTATTGAAATTTTCAATACCACAGAACGTGTGGACTGCGCTTGGAAAACCGCCAACACATCAGTCTAGACTCTAGAGCAATGCTCATTTCTCAAGTTATGCATGCCATCCTTGCTCAGAGGTCATGCTAATCTTCTCTGTATCATTCCAATTTTAACGGATGTAAAACATGATATTTCTCAAGGAAACTGACAATTTGACATTGTGATTGGGATCATGAGAGCGACACCAGCATTAAGGGGAGGGCTTGCGCTATATAGAAAGGACACTAGCGAAGAGGCATACGAGGGACAGTCTTTACATACAACCTTTTCTATGTCACCAACATGTGAAGGTAATGGTACGCAAAAAGGGCAAGAGACAGATATGGACACGCAGAAACATATACCATTTCAGCAAGCAAACGTGATCCAGTCATGAAGGGGAGCATAGGGGTAAGTGGTTCAGGGGAGGGGGTAGAGGGGGATGAGAATGAGGAAGAGAGAGAGAGAAAGAGAGAGAGAGAGAGAGAGAGAGAGAGAGAGAGAGAGAGAGAGAGAGAGAGAGAGAGAGAGAGAGAGAGAGAGAGNGAGAGAGAGAGAGAGAGAGAGAGAGAGAGAGACAGAGACAGAGACAGAGACAGACAGAGACAGAGACAGACAGACAGAGAGACAGAGACAGACAGAGACAGAGACAGACCGAGACAGAGACAGAGACAGAGACAGAGACAGAGGTAGAGACACAGACAGACACAGAGAGACAGCGAGACACAGGGGGGAGGGGGGCTAGAATGGAACCGCAGGCTGCAGAGGTGAAGCAAGATGCAGAACAGGAGAGAAAAAAGCATTGAAACGAAACAGGAAGAGACCAGGGGGGGCAAGGGAGGGGGGCAAGCAGCAGGGGAAAGAAGGAGAGAGAGAGGATCATCTCGACGAATTTCCATCAAATGGCTCCTCTGCACCGGAGGCATCCAAAGTCCACAGTGTGGTACTAAGTACAAGTCAGAAATGGGCGACATGCGGTTATGAGAACGGGAAAACAAGGTTAGAATTGGCAGTGCCATCTCAGCAACAGAGAAGTCTGAGAAGACAAGGTTGTCCCCCAATGCTCTGGTCACAACACAAAGCCCACACTTCCCAGCTTAATGTTGTTCATCACTTGGCACACAACGCTCACATGACCAGCTTGCCATCCGAAGCACGGAGATGGCCTACATGTCCTACTCAAAGTGTCATTCCTACGCAATGGCATTGTAGCCTTATCTACTCTCAGCAGGGATGATAACACTCACTTCTGCCATTTTATGACGCTCAACCACCACCACCTTCCGTCTGCAGTGACAGTTTGACAGCCACTGAACACCAATCCGTGTATCCGTCTCCCCAGAGAGCACCCCAAGGCACTTCAGTGACCGATGCTGGCAGGGACAGGAATGCGACATTGGCACAGGGCCTCGAGAGGATCTCTGCTCGTCGTTTGACCCCACAGTGCTGCCACCCTGCATGAATCATGCCACTTAGTGATTTTTGGAGCACAGATGAACTGCGGTTGTCCAGGTTTGTTGGCTCTGTGTCGACTACAACATGTCATCAGGACCAGCGGACGCACATTACTAAGGAGGGGACTGTGATGGGTGGATTGACATAAGCATTGAGCTTGTTGATGAAAATTCAGATGACCATAACCATGGGGACAGTTAAAGCTGTTTCTCAGGGATCACATACTCACGAGAGCTTTGCGATTATGACCAGTCAGAGGGATGCCATGGGAAAGGGGCACTGTAAGGGGCTCTGCCTACCTTCACTGCTGCTGCAAACCTTGGACGCAGAGCCATCACTCTTGGCACAAGCACTTGCACTAAAGGCATATACTCCGCCATTTTCGTTGGCTCACTTCCACTCACAGTCAACTTAATCAACTCACAAACAGCTGCAAGTAAAACAGGTAACCGAACAAATCAGCGAACACACCACTCTCTGGTGCCCGGAAAGGAAAACCAGGCCAACGGCTCCACAGAGACCCCAAAATTGTTTGTTACCACAAACCTCTCGCCCTCTCTCTCTCTCTCTCTCTCTCATTGCATAAATGCATGCACACATCTGGACAGAAACTCTGGACAGAAACGCACACATGTACACATGCACAAGCACATACAAACACACGCATAAACACACATGTAGGCACGCCCACACACACACACATTGACATGTGACAAGACATGTGATTGTCATGCGTTCGTTGAGAAGTTAAGTCACCCACTGTGTTGGACACAGACAGCAGAAAAGGCAGCCTACTTCCTTTTCCACTTTGTAAACTTCTGAAGGCTTGAGCGGCCCTTTCCAGATTCTAGGAACATTCAAGGCCACCGTCTTCACCCGCACAGAACGCCTGATCATTAAAGCTGTATTTGGTGCAACTTTCAGTCTAGATACAGTGATACTGACCAGGCGTTCTATTCGGGTGAAGACGGTAGGTGTGCGCTGACATAATCGCTACCTCATGCTCACACTGAAAACATTCACCGGGCATAGTAGGTGACCTGGTTTAATTTATGTGCAGATGCAGGATTGGGAGACAGACCAACTTCTTATAAATGGGACGTCAAGTGGTCTGAAAATTAGGGTATCCGTTAACCTGCTCTCGTCAGCTGTCGGTCGGCACCCCAAAAAAAAAAAACACAAAATGCCGGGTTCATAACCCCCAATAACCCCAACATCTTTATACACCCCCTCAACACCACCACACCACCCTCCAACACCTCATACTGGCCCCCCATAGACCCTCCCATAACTCCCCCATACCCCCCCCCCCCCCCTCCCCCCAAACTCGATATACAGCCATCAGCAGAGTAGTCACGCCGAAGGTCGGTGCCCCTGGATTGGTCGGCGGTCGAGCAGCCGACTGTTCCACCAGTCGGCACCTACTGGTCGGCTGTCGATCGGCACCCCAGAAAAAAATATTAAAAAAATGTGGGGTTCATAACCCCCAATAACCCCACCAACATCGTTACACCCGCCCCCAACACCCCCATACACACCCCCAACACTCCTATACCACCCTCATACACCTCTCCTCATAGCCCCCCCCCTAACTCCAGCATACCCCTCTGGCCCTCCCCCAATCCCCAAAATCTCTCAGCTGAATTGAGCTGTACTCAGCAAGCGCAGTACAGCCCCAAACTCAGATTTAAAAAAAAGAATCAGTGGCTGGCCCTCTAGTGACTGGTCAGCAGACCACCTATGGGTCGGCCCCACCGGTGAGCAAGAAAACCGTCGGCCGTCGGCATCGGCGGTAGGCAGTCTGACAACCCTGGCCATCAGGTAGAACTGGGCGTTTTGAATTCTTGTTTGACAAATGAAGGGAGTATAGGAAAGAGTCTGATAATACTCGGCGCCAGGGCCAACTGGTGTATGTTCATGCTAAGAAAGCACGAACTTGGTCAGAGTTCTGGCAAGGTTCGTGCGGGCTTGAGTAGGTTTCGTGCGAGCTCATAAAAAACCTAGCACCCCGACATGATATGTTCATGCTAAGAAAGCCCGAACTTGGTCCGAATTCTGGGAAGGTTTGTGCGAGCTCAAGTAGGTTCTGTGGGTGCTTAGAAGAACTATAGCACCGACTGCCGCCATGTTCATGCTAACAAAGCATGAACTTGGTCAGAATTCTGGCAAGGTTCTGGTGAACTTGAGTACGTTTCATACAAGGTTAGCAGAAATATAGAACCAATGGGTCCGGCCCTCCCGAATCTAAACCAGTACGCCACAGAACCATTTACTCCTTAGAACCAACCTTGGAACCACAGCTGTTCCTGACTTCCATCTAGATGCTACCGTCTTCCCCCGAACATAATGCACCGCCATCTTGACTGTACTGGACCGGAAATCTAGCTTGTATACATTCATATTGAGGGTGCGTTTTGTTCAGAGGAAGAGGGTAGCTTTCTCGGCGTAGGGCTCTTTAGGTGAGCACGATTGCAACAGAGCAAATGCTCAGGAATGGCTGAAACCTGCATGCAGTGCTATACACAGTCACCTGAAAAAATGTCGTCAAAGCACCCGGTGATAGCAAAACCTGCTGCGAAGTCATGGGGCAGCTGACAGCCACAAGCACAGATAGCACAGCCACAAAAACAGAAAACTACCAAGGAACGCACCGTCTACCGCTTGATCAAATGTCTCCGACGAGTCGAGGCCGTCCAACGCTGCAGTGACCAATGGGTGATTTGCCAGAATTGTCGCTTGTGAGCTGATTACAACAAGAACAGACAAGGGAAGTGATTAACTGAGTAATGATAAGCAAAACCCATGGCATAGGTTGGGGCAAATGGAATCACGCTTGACCTACACACACACACACACACACACACACACACACACACACACACACACACACACACACACACACTCAACAGTGTTCACCCAATGAGAGGAATGCAGTTATGATACAAGTCACAAGCACATGCAGGTCCGGATTTCACTACGACTCACATGAAAAACCAGTGGCAACAGCTGTGCTATACTAAAGCATACACACAGCCTACAGTGGGAGCCAAGCAGCCCTGAGCGAGGACCAGACCGTGCTGATGCCATATCTAACCTAACCCAGCATGTACATATGCAGTTTTACACCCTAGTTCAATTTACTCGGAACAGACATAGCACCCATGCGGCCTGATCGTTATATGTTCATGGGAATCATGGCTCAATTTTTAGGGCCACAACATGGTCCACCACTATCAGTCGAGCTCCATGATGGAGAGGCTAAAGTATTTGGGGTCGACCTCACTGAGCCTTCCTTTTTTTGAAGGGACACCAGGCTGTGAAAAAGTAGCAAGAAGGTGATATGCAGGACGTACAGGGCAGTGCAGGCACCCTCTTGTGTACACAAACACAGGTTCGTAGATATACCTGTGCTCAGCATGCCAAAGCTTATGCGAAACCACGCGCAAGAACAGACACACAGAGGCAAAACCGAGTCAAGAAATGCATCAAGAGACTCTGGTGACATGTTGTAGCAACCATCAATAAGATCAACTTTCTAAAAAAGAAGAACACTACAAACTCTCTCTCTCTCTCTCTCTCTCTCTCTCTCTCTCTCTCTCTCTCTCTCTCTCTCTCTCTCT